TCATGTACAACTGGCAGAGGGCTGTCAAAACTGGGTTCAAATATCTCTATATGCAGTGAGTGATGCTACACTCGGCACATGTATGTGACATCATCTTCAGGAATTTGTACATAATAATTGATGAAAAGACAGACAAATTCAGAAATTCAGTGTTAGTGGCATAGTCAGAATTTCATTTTAAAGGCAGGAAACTGGTTACAGGTTGCGGGGGCCAGCTTGCAGGCATCGTGTCCCAGATACATGGCTATACCAAGAATGACATCCACCAAATAGCCTAGTTAATTATAGCTACATGTTTAGAAAACTGCCCACCCCATTTCTGTAACCAGAGGGGAAAAACATCTTTGAATATTAAAGTCAATTAAACACAACTGCTTACCTCACATTCAACCAGCTGACATTAATCACTGTAACAACACACAAATGCTGTCTGTGACAGTATATCGCTGTTGTCGGAAGAAAACCTTGTATCTCCATTTTTGACGTTTTTCAGTTTTTGACATAATTTGAAAATGTCTCTTACCCTTTATATTGTATGTCGATTTCATGATGAATGGACTAGAAAAAATGACCCAAAATGACTTGGTAAAACATCTGCTTCCATTGACTTACATTAAAAGTAAAGTAGGTTTTTTCTTTCTCCTGTAAAGTTATCATTTTGGAGATGCGAGGTTTTCTTCCGACAACAGCGATATCATGGAACAAAGCTAACAAAGCTCATTTTCCAATCCACCTTAAATGGTACAGCAGTTAACCCCTTAACAATCCAGGTTTATTTTACACAAAGCCTTACTATCCAGCAACTAAAGGGACAATGCAAACTAATGGAGCTATTGTTAGGTTATAGTAGTGTGTAATAAAACTGCTTGTTAAGGGGTCGACTGATGCACCATTTAAGGTGGATAATGTGGATACGCAGCCAACTTCAACCACAATGGGTAGTCCTACTTTTTACAGTTCTAGGAGTAGATGTCTAAGGTGAATGGCTGGAGACCTTTCACACTACTGATCTTTGTTCTCTTTACCATGGTCAAGTACTTCTAATCACTAGCTAGGTAAGTAGCCTATAGGAACCAGCACAGCTCAGCTAATTTCCCACCATCAGGAGAAACAGTGGAGCAAGCTAATGCTGTGTTTACACGCTGGCATTGGAAAAAAGCATCCTCCCATGACTTTTGCATAACTGATAGTGCCATGAATCCACGTAGACACTGCCATGGTGAAAGCAGAGTTTTTTAACGGTCAGAAATCTGATATATGTGTGAACTGGTGAGAGAAATCTGCACCCTAGACATGTGCAGTGACCGTGTGCACCACCATCACGGTTATTGCTGTTTGATCATTTTTGCATCTGTTGTGACATGCAGATGCAATAGCAATTAAATATCTACTCCTCTATCCCACTTTGTACAATATGAGAGACTCTTTGTACTGTGAGCTCAAGTGTGTCCACGCTGTACCTTTGTTTCAGCTTCTGCTCTTTCCAGGAGACTCGCTTTCAGTTTCTCAAAGAAATCTGCAGGGATGTTTTTCCACACCTCCAAAGTTCAGTCTTGGAAGTTGGTTGCATTTTCTGCTTCTCACAATCCAGGTAATCCCAAACATTCAGTGATGTTGAGGTCTGGACTCTGGGGTGGTCAGTCTATTGTTCTGAGAACACCAGCAGCTTCTTTGTTTGATTTGCAATTTTTCTTCTTTTTTTGTCTGTTTCCTTTTCTCAGTAAGAGCTTCTTGTCAGCTACACATCCTTTCAGACCCAGCGTTGAGCGTTGAGTTGTCTTCTCACAGTGGAAGGATGGACAGAAACACTTGTAGATGTTTTCAGATCTGAAGTAAGAGTGGAGCTCAATTTTCTCCTCTCTCTCAAAGATGAAAGCATTAAGTGCTGTTTATCTGATGGGGATAGTTTTGGTGGTCTACCAGGTCTGCGTGGTTGTTAGGAGTCCCATTTTCTCTGAATCATTTTTGAAACTACATTTTCAGAAAAACCACTTTTGACCTTCCTCTTCCTTATACAAGTGGATTATCTTATATTCAATCTCCTCAGAAATATCGCTGGAAAAATAATGTACTTAATGTCTGTTTTGACTGGGGTGGTCTCCGTACTGTTTGCTTTCTGTCTGTATGTTTATGTTGTCCCTCTACTTTTAGAATCACAGGCCTTCTGGGAGTCTATACTGTTTATGAATGTGTGAGAGTGGATGATTCATGTGCGAGCGTGAATGTGTGTGTGTTTCCGTGGGGGGAGGGGTGTAAGGCTTTGTATTATATGCTTGTGTGTGTGTAAGTGTGAAAGCTGGCAGCTGTGCGGATTCTCAGGAGCCTGAAGATGCAACAGCAACTCGCCTCAACACTTTCTCATCATAAGCAGATGCTATAAGCATAAAAGAGATGACAGTTCAAGTACAACCGAGAGAAAGCAATTTCACAACATGCCATTTCATAACATGCACACACAAATGACCCATACGTGCATTCGAAATATGTCCTTGCTCAGCTACTTTTGCTAGGCTGGACAAGCTTTATAGAACAGTGATAAAAATCCTATTCAACATAAAAAAAACTGTAGCACACAAAATAAGTCAAAATAAGTCTGTTTATAGTGTGTTACTAATGCAGATGGTGTTTATTTTGCATATATGAAAAATGTTCAAATAGTTAGGACAGATTAAGACTGCAATTAAAAACAAATAGTTTGATATGATTATTCATGTAATTTAATCAACTAATAATCAAATAATTAGCATAATGTTTGGCAATGTTCTGAGGTACTGAGGTACTGTTTACCAGGAGCTAAATTATCACCATGGAAAAAAAAACGTGGTGCATTGTTTAAGCCTGCTACATTAAGCAAAAAGCAATCGTTAAACCAGAGGTGTGGACTCAAGTCATAATGACTTGAGTCTGACTCGAGTCACAAATTTGATGACTTGAGACTCGACTCAAGAAAACCAAGACTTGCGATTCGACTCGAGAAAACCAAGACTTTCGACTCGACTTTGACTTGAACACCAATGACTTGGACTTTAACTCAGACTTCAGCCTTAAGACTTGGTAAGACTTGAGACACAATGTGGAAGAAACGTGTAAAGGTGATTGCAGACTGCTACACAGTCGATTCCTATTCACATAAATGGATTCGTTTCCTACTGTAAAATGATTGAACAGCAAAGTCGTCAGATGTTTGTCACTGTGCTTATTCTCGACTTATTTTATTTCGGAAGACAAGCGAAGCGTTTAGAGTTCAACTTCGCCTCCATAAGCTGGAAACAAGCGAAGCATCAACATCTAAAATACAAGTATTTGAATGTTGATTGATATTTGAAAACGCCAACATCGCATTCCTTGTTATTGCTGTTTTATATGATGAGCTATTTTAGGTCTCAGTATCTGACACAGCTGATGTCGGTCCTGTTAGCACAGGATCTGTAATATCTTTTCATTACATGATGTTATCGACCACACAGAAGCTATTTCATTCGTTTTTACTTTATCATTAAAGGAGAAACACAGAAACAAAATTTGTTTGTGTTCCTTTATTGGAGTTTACATAGTTGTAATGTTGCTGGGACCTTTTTAGAAAATATGAATAAGAAGCCAAAGTAGGCGTTTCATGTTTACAAACAAAGAATAATCCTTTTTTTAATTTGTTGAATGAAACATTAATGCCAGACTAATATCTGCAGGATTTTTCCTCCCAAATATCAGTTAATCGAAGTCATAATGGACCAACAAATCGATTATAGAATAGTCGCTGCCCTAAAATGAACAGGCCTAAACCATTGCATTATAATTGCTTGGTAAATCTGTTGTTAGCTTACTCCTAGCCTACAGCATGCCCTGTCACTCAACATGAAATCTTAAACAGCATGAATTAGGTAAAGCTTTGTTTAACCCACTGCTTTAACAAATTTAACAGTTGCCCTGCCGTACAACTATATTTATCGATATTACTGCAAAAAACAGAAACTGAGACAGTATGTAGCCTCAAGCTGTAGGCTAGCTGTCAATAAAGTCAAGCTACTTTATGAGAGTAATGAAAAGAGACAAATTAATACACAAATAGGATAAAAGTCACTTTAGAATTAAGAGATGATTCAGTCATGGATTAAATTAAAATCACATATTAAAGAACATTGATGCTTACACCTTAATAATCTATATCTATTTAGACATGCATTTCTGAGCTCCTACTGGTGTGTGCTAATAGTGCCCCTTTTTGGGGAGATCCTCATTGTTGTGCACATCTGTACATTTCATGAAATGAACAAAAAAAATTACTTGCTGCCTTTTTCAACAACAAACTGCTCCACTTAATATGATCAATACTTTATATGAGTGTTCTATCCTAGTGCTACAATATTTTAATTAATCTTCTTTTGCATCAGTGCTACCTTATGTAAAAGTTTACGTTGCCCTGCTATTTACTGTTATGAAAATATTATACTATTTTACAGTAGGCTGCTACACAAACTACCCACTCCACCTGAATCTGTACAGTATTACAGTTTTAACTATCTGCATTACATATTTTTTGTTATTTATAACATTTACATCTTGCATTTTTTCTGTTTTTATGTGATTACAAATTCCTTGTATGTGAAAAAGCACTTAGGTAGTTGATGATTCTGATTATGATTCTGGTGCCATTTAGAGAATGACAAACCAAAACGTCCATGTCTGTTCCCATCACAGCCCTAAATGGAGATAATATTCACACTGTATAACTTTCACTCTAAAAGGTTTATGAGAGATGAGTTGTTGCCTTTTAGCTGCCCTTCCTTCATTTAGCTGTGTAATTTGAGCTAACAAGTGAAACATAAAAACCAAATTAACTTAATATGACTCAAATGAGTCGAGGAAATCATTTCGCACAAACCATCTGAGTGGAATAAACAAATCAAGTTTTAGAGAATCCAACTGTGCATTTCCCTGATGTGATGTGATGTCAGGGGGAAAGCTTTTAGGGGGGTCAAAGGTCAAGGTGCTCTGCTACACACCTGAATGGGCAGCACAATGAGCGCTACGCAGATCATGATGACCACCAGGAGCTGCGAAGGCCAAATCTTCGGCGTGACGTCTCCAAATCCCACAGTGGAGAAAGTGACCACGCAGAAATAAAGGGAATCGAACAGGGTCAGATTATTCCCCGCTCTCTCCAGGTGCTGAATACCACAGATACTGAGAGAGAGAGAGAGAGAGAGAGAGAGAGAGAGAGAGAGGGAGAGAGAGAGAGAGAGAGACAGGGTTAATATGGATCTATCGAACTTTAAAATGAAAAGGGGTCAGGGGATTTGTGTGTGTGTGTGTGTTTGTGTGTGTGTGTGTTTGTGTGTGTGTGTGTTTGCGTTGAGGGGTCACTAAGAGTTAACATCTGACAGTCAATGGTGAAAAGGCCCCAACCCCCCACAAACACACACACACACACACACACACACACACACACATACACACTCAGCTCCTTCCAAACACTGATCTACTAACAGTACAGCAACCCTCACACAGATACACACTCAACTTAAACAGTCTGATCCAGGATTTCCCTCTAATTATTCTCTAAACATCTCTCTCTCTCTCTCTCTCTGCCTCGTTCTCAATATCTCTCCCTCACTCTCTGTCTCTCTCAATGTCTCACACACTCTTTCTCACTGTCTTTCACTGTTCCTTTCTCAATATATCTCTTTCTCAATATCTTTCTCTCTCACTCTGTCTCTCTTTCTTAATCTCTCTCTATATCTCTTTCTCTCTCTTACTTTCTCAGTATCTCACTCTCTTGCTCTCTGTCTTTCTTAATCTCTTTCTTTGTATCTCTCTCTTTGTATCTATCTCTCTATTTATCTTCTGTCTTGCTGTCTCCTTCTTTCTCAACATCACTCTTCTAATATCTCTCTGACACTCTCTTTCTCAATCTCTCTCTTGCTCTCTCTCTCTGCTTTTCATACTCTATTGCCAAAGACATTGTTTAAAAGGTGATAATTACAAAGATAGTGCTCACAGATATTAAAAAGAAAATTGCAATTTGAAAAATGCCTCTCTCTCTCTCTCTCTCTCTCTCTCTCTCTCTCTCTCTCTCTCTCTCTCTCACCAGGTGAAGATGAGGCAGAGGAGGGTGCTGATGAGGATGAGCACCTGGTTGAACATGGCTGAGTGGGTGCGCTGGATGGCTCTGTGCAGGTCATTCTGAAAGACACACACACACACACACACACACACACACACACGAACAGTGAATAACTAAAAACAAATGTTATTGATATTGATTTGAAGGTTTGGATCCCAAATTTCCCAAAGGATACATGTCAGATTCCAGAAAGGCAAACCCAAATCTAAAATCATTCTCTTGAAAGTTGGGATCATTTCCTTGGAACCTGTGATCATTTTCCTAGAATTTGGGATCATTTTCTTGGAATTTGGGATCATTTCCTTGGAACCTGTGGTCATCTTCCTGGAATTTGGGATCATTTTCTTAGAATTTGGGATCATATCCTTGGAATCTTTGGTCATTTTCTTGGAAATTGGGATCTTTTTCTTAGAAATTGGGATCATTTCCTTGGAATCTGGGCTCATTTTCTTAGAATTTGGGATCACGTCCCTGGAATCTGTGGTCATTTTCTTGGAATTTGGGATCCTTTTCTTAGAATTTGGAATAATTTCTTTGGAATCTGAAATCATTTGTAGGAATCTGATATCTCATATGCAGGCACTGGATAACGGTAAACTATATTAACTACAATTCTAAAGCACTGATTTGAATGCTTGGATCCCAAAATTCAATTAAAAGTCTGAGGAATCTTAATTTGTAATATAAATATTTTCCTATAACTACTGACACTGTGGGAATTTAAGATCTTTTTTCTGGAATTTGGGATAATTTCTTATTTGTAATCTCTTGAGAGCAAAAAAGGATCTGAAGGGGATCCATGTTTTATTCCAAAAGGCAATCACAACTGCTTTAAGAATGATCATTTTCTTGGAATCTGGGATCATTTGAGAGCACGACGAGAATCAGTCTACTGGACTGTAAGGGAACATTCAGTAGCAGAAGAGTAAATGTCAGAAAAGCCTCCCGAAGCCTCCAGAAATCACTTCAAGTCAGACAGGGTAGGAGGCTTAGAGAGGCTTACTGAAAGAGTGAAATTAGACAGAGAAAGGGAACACGCTAGAAAAGACACAGATATGCACTAATAACATTTTTAAAAGCGTCACCAGCCACTGATATTTCATTAACAGGATTATCAATGCGAGCGCTCTCATTCTATTTCAAATCTATTCCATAGCTTCCCTGCTTCAAAGGAAGAAGCTCAGCAGATTACAATTTCGTAGGTTTTCTGCAATCATGCTCATTTCAAAAAGTAAAAAAATCAAACCAGCAGCTATGATTTCAGCCGGAGTTCATGCTAATGCGCTTAATTGCAATTAGTCTCACGCTGTTCGGACTGTATGTCAATTTTACTAATTTGCACTCTGTGCTCCGAGAGGCCCACTGCAGCTTTTTTTTTAACAAAAACACAGGAAAAACAGGTAGATGGGGAGAGAACGCTATGAGCAATGCTCACAGGAGAAAAACAACATTTGTTTTTCTTACGATCATGTTCTCCAGAGCATGTTTGGCCAGCCAGCAGTTCAGAAAGACGGGGATGAAGAGGTTTCGGAAAGAGGGCAAAATCACCTGCCAGAAAGGATGAAAAGAATTCCCGTTTATTGAGCTGCATTACAAATAAACAGTCATCATAACCACATAACAAAACGTCTACAATAGGACAAAGCGTTATAGACCAATAAGGCAAGCAGATCTCAAATAGAAGACAACTAATGTTCTTAACTAGAACTAGCTAACAGGCTAAAAGCCAACGGCCTAAACAACTCTATCATTAACATCACAGGCTTGAATTAAAGTACATATGGTATGATTAACTGTGAAATGGCAGCATAAAAGAACGTCACTTGAATAGATTACATGCTTCAAATGTTTTGTGTTCCAGTCAGGAGGAGCGTCAAACCCAGGCTGAATCCCAAACGGCTCTGTACTCCCTAAATAGGGTGCTAGCTATTAAAATTTCAGAATTCTAACCTCCACAGACAAACAGTACATCATTTATTGAGTATGGATATGGATTTGAGTCCCAAATGACTATTTCTTAGCTATATTTTGCACCGTTGGGGTGCAGGATCCAGTATTTAAATTCCTATGTAGTCCACTAGGGGAGCCATTTGAGATTCAGCCCCAGAACGAGTAGAGGGCACCGCTGGATTGGCGCTAAATAAGACTCATAGTGATGACTGGGTGACCAAAAAGTACTTATAAAGCTAAAGTTTTTGCATTAAACAGTGCTGTGTTATCATTTTTGGCAGAATACTTGTTTATGTCAATTATTATTAATAATAACTTCAATTATTTTCTGGAAAATTGTGTATTTTATCATATCTTTTGTTGGCTGGCGTTTTATAAAAGCAATAAGCCACTTGAGGCTGTGTTACTGCAATTTTATCACGAGAAGGGAGTTTTTGGCACTCCGTTTCACGTTGTGATAAAATCTCAGTAACGCACGGCCTCTTGTGGCGTATTGTTTTAATAATGTTTTATCAACCGTTACATCTCCCGCTCTGAGTGCTTTCCAGTAGTAAATCTCACCGCATGACTGTGGTCCTGATCATCTGATTGGTCGCTGCTCTGCTCATTTACACAAAGTTTGTCCAGAATGAGAGCAGAGCGAGGCCGTGTAACAGTGGTCTGATCCTAACGGATTATATTAGCTGATCTCAGAAATGTCTCCTGAAAAATGAACAACTTGTACTGTTGGAAGTAAGGGGTCAGTGAGTGGACAAACAAAGTAAGAATTTCTAATAAAGTGGATGATAAGTGTATATTATTATAAATAATACACATATATTACTTATGAAAGGTCGGGTATCTGCAATTATGTGCAATTATGTGTCTTTTCATTATGTATGCAAAATAAAGCCGATAAAGTACAACTAGTTCTCATAATACATGCACCAACATTAATACAGCTCTTGTGCTCTGCCTGTCTCAGAGTGGGCTGGGAGAAGTGCTTTGTGCTGCTTGTGTAAGAAGCTGGAGTGGACACTCACAGTGATAACGAAGGGAACTGCACTGATCATCTCCAGGATGAACGGGACACGCAACACTTGCTCCCACACGTTGCCCTGGACACACAGGGAGAAGCCTAGGTCAGTGTATGTGAGCCCCTGGAAGTGGGACGTTGGCTGATTGGCAGCCCGAGACCATCTTTGCTTGGGTTTAAGATGAGGAGAAAAGGCACTGGATATGTTTTCCTTTTACAGTGACTTGTAAGCCTCACTCTTCTGGATTAAACTGTGAAAAAGAACTGCTAAACACAGTGAATGAGGCCATGTTTCAATTATTTAGTTCATTGTTTCATTTAACATCTGAAGTTTCACACAGATGAGGTCACAACTCGAAATCAGAAATATTAATTACATTAGAACCATAACAAGCTGTCACCCTGCACCACCCCCCCCTTTCCATCCTCTTTGGATCTCTTAAGATCTCTTATTATCTATATTTTCTGTCTATATATATATATATACATATATATGTATCATGAGCACACACACCTACAGAAGAGGTAGCTGTGTAGAATTGTGCACTTTAATTTTTCATTGGTTATGCTATGCAGTGTTTGGTACAGCACGCCCACCTGCCATCAGGGTTGCCAGGTTTGTGGTTTTCCTGCCAAACGGAGCTGGTTAAATGCAGTCCCAGGAGAAAATAACATATATTTAGCTTCTGATGTACAGCTTTTAAGTAAACATTTGGGGTAGAGATGTTTTCTGGATGTTTGCTGGACCTGGCAACCCATAGAGAAGGTCTCTGTAATGACTCAGATTTGCTGTTAGTGGTCTTGACTACTACACTATGGCGGATTCAACCAACTTTCATAACTCAACTACAGTACAGACATAGTATGTTTTTTGTTTTCTGCTAAATGACAGTGTTGATATAAAGCATTGTGACAACAAGTCAAATTTCTAGTATCGTGACAACCGTAGACGAACATGACCCGCGCCAGCTCAGGCGTGGGCGGAGCGGACTTGTATATTTCGGCAGAAATCAATGCAGCTTGGAGAGACTTGAGAGAGAGAGATGGAGAGAGAGGGGGAGAGAGAGGGAGAGAGAGAGAGAGAGAGAGAGAGAGAGTGGGAGATGCTTTGGGGGAAGCGGCGGCGGACTCCATTAATCGCAGGGAGGATCTGCAGCCGACTTCAAAGGAGGCGTGAAACTCAAAGGCTCTGAAAGGGAAGAGCATGCCTCCTGCTCCGTTCCCCCACTTACTCAGCCAGCACAAGAGCTCTCAGAAAACAAAGAGCTGATTGGTACACACGTCTCTCTCTCTCTCTCTCTCACCGTCTCTTTATCTGTCTATCTATCTCTCTCACTGTCATACCTGGTCTTCTCTCCTCCTCCTCCTCCTCCTCCTCCTCCTCTCTCTTATCTTTGATCCTGAAGCCGGTCATGCTAAGTGACTGCACCTGAGCTAAAGTCACACTGACGCATACAAAGATCCACAAGACAGTTCTGCCCAACCAGGCTCTGCCCACCTAGTCCACATTTTGACTGGATCCCACCTACCAAGCACAACTGTACTAGTTTCCTGATTCTGGAGAAGAAAGGCACTCCTAGAAGTCCCCTCCGCGCTTGCCCTTGAACCGAGTTCCAATTCCTAACAGGATCCAGAAAAGCCCCTCAAACCCTCTGTTTCATTCAAGATAGTCTACAAAACCGCCATATCCCAAGATATAGTTAGATAGCAAGGTGGTCTGCTACTTAGCAAAGTCGAGCCTGGCCTAACTCCAGTTTAATTAAGCTAGGTACTTAGGAAGTTAACAGCTGGGGTGACAATTTGTACCAACTCCATTTGCAAATGTTTAAGGGGGGCAGCCTGATCTGTTTTCAAAACTACAGCACCCCTGCCTTCTTTCAGCAAGCGAACACTTGGGGAGGTGGGCAAGCATAAGAAAAGAAATGGAATTGGGGGCACCGGTTCTTGATTGCTTGGTTTATATGTGTTGGGAGCCAGGATAGAGCCAAAATTCGAGTGTGGGACCCCTGAGGACTACACTTGTTTATTGTTTTTCCTGCAACAATGCTTTCCAAAGGGCTGGAAGGAGACAGATAGGTAATCTTTATTTATATTTATATGCAGGCATATGCAGAGCTGGGCCACCTCAGTCATGTGACATGTTTTGTTGATTTTCTAAGTGAAAATGAGTAAACACTGAGTAAATCTACAGAGAACACACATTTTAATGCACAATCACTGTTTATTCACTGAGGTCAACATATTGGGGAAAAAAAAATAAAAGTGAGCAAAGTTTATGCCTCGTTTACATTGTATTCCCAATGTGTTAAACTCAACAAATAAACAGAAATGGCGCATTAACACGTCATATTAAGTTCGCTCAATATAAAGGATGTGCTACAACTTATTTTCACTTAGAAACTTAGCAAAACATGTAATTTGACCAGGGGTCTTAAAACTTGCCTACACAACTGTATATGGACCATTCAACTGACTTCAAACTGCAGTAAAAAAATAAATAAATTAATAAAAACCAATTATTGACCTTATATTATTACAAATATTTACCAGGATTACGTTATGACTTTTTGCATGTCTTCTTTCAAATATTTTTAATTTCCTTTAAAGTGCAAGTGGAAAGATTTAGAATTATCATAAGTCAAATTTTTAAAATAAAAAACAAAAAAAAAAAAATGTTTTCATCTCACAACCAAAACACAAAGAGGTTTAGTCCGTAGGTGGAGCCTAATGTTAGAGCAGGAAGTGAGACTGCATCCCTGTTCCTCATGACCAGATGGTGAGCAGTTAGATCTTATTTTGAAGTAAATGTGTCCCAAAATCTGAAAATCAGTGCGGAACATTAAGAACTGTCACTAGCGAAACATATTTGCAATTAAGTAAACCTTTTTTGTGTTTTAACAATAAATATTATCATTTTAAGTGCGCATAAACGTTCAAAGCTGTGTTGGCTAGTGTTTTTCAGTTCCGCTCAAAATTAGCCTAAATTGTCACTACCGAAACACTTGTTCAAGTGACTGGATCCAAAACCGGGTGCTGAGAGCTTCACTGAACTGAACTGCTTATATCTATATATATATGTGTATGTGTATATATATATATATATATATATATATATATATATATATATATATATATATATATATATGTTGTTCTCAGTGATAGTATTATTGCAACAGGACGTAAACTTGACACTGGTGAATTGTGATAAAGTGCTCAATGAGAACATTGTAAATATTGCACAGAAAAATTGCTGCAAAATATAATCAGAAAAAAATATAAACATGCATAGTCATTATTATATTTTTTATTGGTATATTTTTTTATATATATGTATTTATGTATGCATATATATATATATATAATTTTACTATTTTACCATCCATTACTATCATTGTCTTGGTATGGTTTTCTATTTATAGTGGTTCTGTTTAATTATTTTAATTACTAATGTGCCCAATTGTTTTATTTAATTGTTTTGGTTTAATAATCAAATTTGTTTTTAACTCTCCTAATTTTTATTTGTCTTTTGTTTTGTTTTAATATTTTTTTAATCTTTTTATTTTATTTATCTATTTATTTCTTTGCTAGACTTTTTACTATCACAAATTTGTATTTACTCTTTTTTAATAATGCTCGGCTACATTGTTTGACAATGATTGTGTCCCTCAGTGTACTCCCAGTTAAAATAAAGGTTGATGAGCTGCTGAAAAAGTGGGCAGTCATTGTTCAGCTCTACATCAGTATCAGTACTGAAAAAGAGGTATCATACCATCTCTAGTCTTTAAACTGTCTCTTAAAAATTACCATTAAATCTGACAGTCTAATTTCAAAGGAAAGGCTCCTGCAAAGTGGCACATGTGAATGTGCTTGTATGGTAATTAGCTAATTGTGCTAATAAAGTGGAACTGATTAGTGAATATGTTAAATGGGGTCGTGTAGGAGTTAGACTGGTGTACAGAAAGCATTTGAATGCCCTGGAGAACGTGTGATACTGTAGTATTGCCAGGTGTGTGTAATGGTGGACCCGACTAACCAGGGTCCTATCTGGATGGAGGCCCTCCAAAACCTTCGGAAATAAATTTGGTTTCTAATTTTGATATTCTCTGTTATTACAGAAATAAACACTACATGACTGCATGTTCCATGAGAAGCTCTGCTTATCTACTGGAAAGTGAGAAAGCAATAAATGGGCAAACATCTTCTGCCCCGATTCTTTCAGAAGATAGGTGAGCCTAAAGCGCCAAACAGTAAATATGTCACAGTAACATAAGCTAGCCAGCTAACTAGCGATTAGCCACATCTATGGCGATTAGCTACATTTGCAGTCATTTGCAACAAGCACAAGCTGGTAAAGAAGCACAGCACTTAATTCAATGCAGCAAGTAATCAGACAGTGTTTCTGTGATCATAACTAATCGAGATTAGCCTCAGCCCAGCAGCTAACCTGTGAAACACACACTGTTAGCTCCAGAGGCAGTAACTGAGAGAGAGAGAGCAGCACCTCTTCCTTTTCTGATGCAGCTGAAGACATGAGACAGGGTGATGACCAAAGCAGGCAGCTAACAGGTGTTCCAGTCAATAAACCATGTGTTGAGCAGTTTCTGTGAAAATGACAGTAATTATCTGTATTTTTAGTCTTCTCTGTTGAATTTCCCTCTAATTACACTGATTGTTTTGAATATAGACCAGGTTTAAGTCCTATCCTTATTACACTAAAGAAGGACTCTTTCCTTTAATTTTTTTTTGGAGGGGGGAGGGGGAGGGCTGGGCACTTTACTATGCCTAGGGCCCAAATTTCAGTGCTACACGCCTGAGTACAGCGGGTGCAGCGTGTTTCGGTGTGTCACTCACCTTGTAGCTGAGGTACACCAGCAACATGGTTTCCGAAAAGCTGATGAAGGCCACAAGCACCTGGTGGGAGAGAAACGCAGACAGAAAGAAAAAAAAGAGAGAGCAACAGATGAGAAAGCAGACAGAGAAAGAGTGGGAGGAAGCAGTGGGTGGACCTGGGCATAATGCCGCTTACTGTGAAAAAGATGTCTGGGCCAAGTGGCCAAACAGCGAGAGGACAAAACATCCACAGACACACACCTCTTATGTGAGCGTTTGTGTGCGTCTGCCTCTCTGTCTGAGTGAGGTTCTGGGCTCTGCTGCATTCATTTGGTCTGCATGTTTGTGCCTGTCTGTATCTTTGAGCAATGCAGTGCGATCTGCTGTGTATGTGTGTAGAAAAGGTTAATTGTTCTGACCTGTAGTGCCCAAAGCGGCAGAGGTCTGTTCACCCAGATAATGAGGGACCTGGTGGCACGGGGTCCGTTATTGTGTGGCAACAGAGCGACATACAAAGAGAAAAACAAACACGTCAGAAACGCTCAGATAAAGATCAGCGCATTAACCCCGTCACATGGTTCACTATTTCCAAACACAATTATTGTTAAAGTGACTGGGCTTAAAATCCAATTTACACAATGTTTCATGCACTGCAAATGTAGTCAATCAGCCAAGACATGTTTGGTGTCTGAAGTTTGCTTCTTTAGTTTGCACTGGAGCTACAAGGCTAATGTAGCTAACAAGTAAAGAAAGCGTATAGCTACCGGTTACCCAGGTGTGATGAAAATAGCTGACGTTGTCAAAAGTTGATGTGAGATTCTCAAATGTAGAACTAAACATACTAAAAGTTGATGCTGTAGAAATGTTTATTTCACATTCCTATAGCTATGTTCAACCTTTCGCCTACATTCTTAAAAAAGATGGTTCTTCCAGTGTTCTTTAGTAAAGGGAATGGTTCTTTGCATGCTATATATGGTTCTATATAGCACCTTTTTGAAAAAAGGAAGGGTTCTGCTTTTGTTACAATGACATGGGTCCTTTGGTGGTGGTGTGTTACTGTGTGTTGTGCTGGAACGAGTGGATCAGACATAGCAGTGCTGCTGGAGTTTTTAAACACTAAGCACTTTTAAACTAAGAATAGTCCACCAACCAAAAACTATCCAGCCCACAGTATCCTGTGACCGCTGATGAAGTAATAGAGGGCGATTCATGAGCTTTCGTCTCTGACTTTACATGTAAAGGTGGACCAACAAGGTACTGTGTCTAATAGAGTGGACAGTGAGTGAAAAGACTCCAGTACTGCTGTGTCTGATCCACTCGTACCAGCACAACACACACTAACGCACCACCACCACATCAATGTCACTGCAGTGTTGAGAATGACCCACCACCCGAATAATCCCCTTCGGCTTTTGCCTCACGTGAGGAGGCGAGGAGAGGAGAGACAACCAATATTAAAAGGCTGTATTGTTTCTGTAATGAGAATAAGATCCTCACGACGGAAACAATACACAGTTTCTTAGTGGTATCAACGTCCACTGCGTACAACTGGATGTGGGGCTGAGGTTAAGGCAACTTTCTGGCAGGCCAAATCAAACATCTTCAGGGGACAACTTTGGCCTGTATGCCACATTTTGGATGACCCTGCTTCAATAAACCTGGTTAGTTTTTAAATGTAAGTTATCAAGAACAGACAAAGAAGACTCATTTTACACTTTTATAGAAATATTTTTTACACAGGTGTACCCAAACTTCTGACAGGTGGCGCAATCAGTGGAAGTGCCATAAATATGAGCACGCATATATTCCCGAGCACTTTGCTCTGGCTTTAAATGAGGAATACGCTCGTTTTTATGTGCAATACATTTCTCAGCGATGCGAGGATGTTCCCCAGACGCTAGACTGATCGAAAACGAACCGTGGCCTTGTTAAGTACAGACTCCAATCGGCTCTGCTTTAATTTGGCCAAATAAATGAGGTCATAACAGCATAACACACCAAAGCTCAGCGTGAGGAACAGCTTGAAGGGTTAATGACACACAGCCGCTTTCTCTTCTCAAACACAGAGTATGAGAGAGATCCTTGGCTAAATATAGCCTTTCATTATCATATTGGAAGCCCCATTCGCTGGCGTTGTGTTCAGCTGTCAATAAATCAATGCTACAGTAGCCGTGAGACTGAGCAGAGCAGGGAGAACTCAATGGATGATTCAAACTGCTGTGTGTATGTCTTAAAGCGACAGTTTGGTAAAACACATTTGCACAATTTTGATTACCCCAAATGTCAATCAGTCAAGACATGTTTGGCGTCTGAAGTTTGCTTCTTTAGTTTTGTGCTGGAGCTACAAGGCTAATGTAGCTAACAAGTAACTGAAGTTTATTGCAGGGCTGTACAACACACCTTCTGTCGTACGGGCTAGGAGGTAATTAATACAGTGTGAATACAAAAAAGATCACAGTTGCACACATGCAATAGACCGTGTTGCTGTAGTGAATTATTCATAGTCAACTGTTCGCTCTAACTGCATGGTGTAAGTGTAATATCGAACATTTCCTCACTGCCCAAGGCATCGCCTTAGTGTAGATGTGAGTAGGGCCACAGGTTCTGTTTATGGTAGTTGTAGTCCAGCAGGTAATTTGAGGCAGCACAAAAAAAGACAAAATGCCCAAGAATTGTTTGGCCCTGTAATGTTGTACATAAAGCCAGCAACGATTTAAGAATTTACAGTTGTATGCAAAAGTTTGAACACTCTCAATCAAATTGTTCTCGATTTTCTACGCAAAAATATGTTAACACGCATCCTCTACAGTGAACAAATTACATTATCCTACAGACTTTATATATATTTGCTGTATACAATTTCTATATATTTGCTGAGTTTAACACATCGTAAAAAATAAAACATATTGTCACTGTCCAAAGAAAAACAAGAATCTCAAAAAAAAGAAGGAGAGGTTAAAAGTATTAGTTACTTTTACAGTAAATTAGTGGAAAGAGATTTTATTCTAAGCAATTTTGGATAATTTCTGTTGGTCCAATCATCATGACATTTTCACACAATGTAAAGGGCAGCTGCTGAGCTCAAATGATGCAGAAAAATAAAAAAAAGGAGGTACATGTTTTTCATTGGACAGCGACGGTATAATATAAAGTGTGCCATAACTTTTGCGCAGGCTGCATTTTATTTTTTTCCCACCAGTATGTGACACTCAGCAAATAACCAGCAACTGTGCATTAAAATGTGCAGAAGTGTGTTCTTTGTTGTTCACTTACTTTCACTTAGAAAATCAACAAAACAGGTCATTTGACCAGGGGTGTCCAAACATTTGTATACAACTGTAGAGTTTGCCTGCAGGAAAAAAAAGGCAATCTTAAAAAAACTGAGGCACCCCCTGCTATACCTACTGCCTTTGCTATCTTCAGCCTGTTTTTTAAAGAATTAACTGGTTAAATTAAAAATGGCATGATAAATAACATTCAGCCTCACCTTCAGCTGATAAAGTATTTTGCTTCCCATTTTGAAATGTATGACTCCAATTATACGTTCACTCCTGCTTGTGTGGGTGTCTTCGCATTCAATGCTAGAATGCTAATAGCGCCCCCTTGTGGGGAATTTGAATTATAGTAGAGAAAATTAATTATGACAGCTTAAAATACAAACCTTCTACATGCTGTTTTGTTTTTTTTTATTTTCACAGTTAAAAGTCAATTTGTTGAAATTATTAATACTTTTTAGGATCAATTCATGTAGTTTGTATCTCAGTGTTAAAAAAAACTGTGCTACACTGGCAACTTTTTATAGTACCAGTTCTACCTCCTCAAAAAGTTCATGTACAACCCTGGCTAATTACACTAATTAGCACTGTGCAAAGTGACACTATATCCCAGTTAAGTAATCTCATAGACATTCTATATTTTCATATTTTGTATAATTTCAATAGATGTATGTTATAGATTGACAGAAACCACATAGTGTTTTTACAACTCGGCATGCTTTGAGGAAAGTATCTGATGGTTCAGGCATGCAGTTTGTACGATGCAAATCAGTTTCCATTTCTTCATCACTACTTAGCCTCTTAGCTCCAATGTAAAACTAAAGAAGCCAACTATACACACGTCTTGGCTGTTTAGACATAAACATGTCTTGGCTGGTCAACTTTATCTGAGGTAGGGAGGAAACTGTAAATTAGATTTTTCATCGAACTATCGCTTTAACTCTCACAGGCCGGTCTGAGGCTGTGTGTATGAGACAGGCCTGACGCTGATATAATGAGGATGTATTATTATTGCTGCGTAATGGGCCAGCGCCTGCAGGTCCGGCGGGCGCTCTGGGAGACGGATGGTCCGGATCGATTAGGTTCTGTTTTTCCCCTCATTAAAGGAACACTGCTGATCTATCCACCGGCCCCCTCTGGACCGTGCCCAATGTCTTCAGCCGTTTCATTTCGAGTCGCAGACACTTACCAGTCAAAGTGGCTTTTGTTCTGCGCAGAGGCATTCTGTCTGAGACAGCCGGGGCTAGGGGGGGAAACACATACACACGAAGAAAAATGAAGAAAGTAGCAGTGGCTGCCGCTCGATACTGATATCTAAAGACCTATCCATCTTTTCCAGTTCACCCCATCTGCCTCTTGTGTTCCCTCGGTATTCTCCCAACTCCAAGCCCAGGGGTGTAAAGTGCTGGTCTGGGAGTCCAGCCCAGTTTGGTGCTTTCACTGCTTTAAAGAGGAATTTTCAAAATTCCTGCATAATTAAATAAGTAAGATGTAAACAAAGTCATTCAGAGTGCTTTGATGTGAAATTCTCTGTTCTGAGGAAACCTACAGAGTCAGAAGTGTTCACAGTGGTGCTGATAGGAACCAGTCTGAAGAGTCTAATATCTCTAAAAGCTTCCTCACAGAAAGATATTACATAAGTTACTACTGCCTGATGCCTGAGACACTGGTTTACAGAAGTTTTAAGATAAGATTTTAGCCTAAAATATATTCATGGTGGAGAGATATATGCAGGGCGTGGTAAGGCAAAACACTATTTTCTGTTATAAACATTATATATAAAAACCCCTGGTTCCACCACGGTAGAGAAATCAAAGTTAGGGAAGTTGGTAAGATTGTATTTGGATAGTCCACTTTAGATGCTTTGTAGATACTTAATTTACTTTCAAGTTACATTCAGCTAAATATCTACAAAACTGATCATAATTTTCTTTAAATCTGGCTCTAATTCTAATCCTAATCTTAACCTCAACCCAAGACCTAAACCCAACCATCACCCTGGTCCTACCCCTAACCCTGGTCCAAATCCTAACCCTAAACCCACCACTGTTTAGAATCAACTGAGTTTCAACAGATAGTTTGTTAACACTTTCATCTGTAGAGAATCTATAGGGGACTATAGTGGACTATCCAAATTAAGATTAAGATTAAGTGACCCTTATTAGTCCCAAAATGAGGATATTTCACCTCTGCAATCTAACCCATCCGTGCAGTGAAACACCACATACACACTAATGAACACACACACTAGGGGCAGTGAGCACACTTGCCCAGAGCGGTGGGCAGCCCTATCCGCAGCGCCCGGGGAGCACTTAGGGGTTAGGTGCCTTGCTCAAGGGCACCTCAGTCATGTACTGTCGGCTCAGGGGATCGAACCGGCAACCTTCCGGTTGCAAGCCCACGACTGCCAAATAAAGTGAGACCTTAAAGTTTCTCTACAATGAAACATTCAAACCACTTTGAATGTCTTTTTTTTTACATCTTCTTTATTGGATTACAATACATCAATGAAACCTGATAATTTTCCAATATTTCCACAAAGCGTTTACACACAGAACAATAATACTAATTATAATAACAATAGTAATATTAATAACAACAATAACAACATTAATGATAATAATAATGATATTTTTAAGACAATTCCTGAAGCAGACATGAGAGCAAACTCACAGTGTGAACTAAAGCTTCATCTTTGTTAGCCCCTTGAGGCAGACTCAAAAAAAGCATATTTTTCTTTTTTCTGATGGCTTATGAATGTGGTACAACAAAGCCGAAAATTCTAAGATTGTCTTTTAAATTGTGCTGGCAATTACCTATTTGAACAAGAAAACATATGAAGTCGAATGGGAATATAATACGAGAGCTGAGAGATGACTGTGTTTTTCCCAGTACCCGAAGCTGTTTTGTCTGATGTTTGTAACTGGCACTGTGGTCTGAGGATACTGTAAAATATACACCGTAACAGAGGTGGCCTTTTGTATAGGCATGATATCTGCCTGCCACAGTGGCACACAGAGCCCAGGCCCCTGTGCATGTTTAATCAGTGCAGCTCAAGTGCTACATTTCCAGAACATCTATGTTAGGTACAATAAATGTGGACATCACATCACCCAACATGTTTAAATGTTCAGTAATGCTCATTGGTAGAAGTTTCAGAGCCATCAAAGCCAGCACAACCAAACAGCTTTTCCCCCAGAGCTGTAGCGCTCATCAACCACAGTGGACACCTCGCACTTTAAACTTAAACTGAAACCTACAATCCTCCCTCATTGTATTACCGTTTAACTCCTCTGTAACACAATGATTATTTGAACAACTGCACAAATGATCATTTCTACAAATGTTCAGATCATTCTGTAATATTCTGTATATAATAGTTGTTGTATTGTATGTCTCCTCCTGTATATGTACAGATATTCACACATCTCTTTGACTCCTTTCACATTGACTCATTATTATTATTATTTCTTATTCTTTATTCTATTTATTCTACTTTTATTTTATTTATCCCTTAGTTAAATACCTGTTAACAGTCTGTGTACTTGTGTATTTGTCAGTAGTTTGTGTGCTCGTCTGGTCTGTTCAGACTTGTGTGCACTCCCCAAGACAAATTCCTTATATGTGGCAAAATAAAGTGATTCTGATGTGAATTCTAGGGCCTTGGTGTGGTTTACACGAAATAAATCAATAAATGAATAACACTTTTTACAACGGCCGTAAAGTCACTGTCACTGCTCACCACGGTAACTCGGTTAACTGTCCCTGGGCACAGGCCATTTTACCATTTTCAAGTACATTTTCTGTCAGCTTGGTCTAATTTGTCGCCTTGGTAACAGAGAGCATTTTGGCTGGTGATGGACATGGACACCCTGACTTGGCCAACTCTCTCTCCAATCACCTATACTTCCCTACACATCTATTCTTTTCACCTCACACTGCTCTGCTGTAAAATTTCCATTTGAGCATTCGCTCTGTGCTTGGCCTCCCTTCACAAGTACTCCAGGCTTTACTCTCTCTCTCTGTCTCTCTCTCTCTCTCTCTCTCTCTCTCTCTCTTTCTCTCTCTCTCGCTCTACCTCTTTCTCACTCCCACTAGGAGTCCGGTTTCCTATTTTCGCATGGCTCTGCCCTCTCCTCACCTGCGGCTGGCTTTCTCTCTCACTCTCGTACATACACACAATCATTCTCAGCAGGTTCTGTCTCACGTTGTCCACCAAAGTTCTTCAAACTCCAACTTGTGGAGGCCCACAGCTCTACACAGATTAAAGGTTTGCTCTACCAAACCTGATTCACCTTAAAAGACCTTCAGATGGTTTAGAGCAGGAGAACTTTAAATCGTGTAGTGCTGAGAATCTTCAGAACTGGAAATGGACAACTACATTCCAACCCTAAGAGTTTAGCCCCAGCCTGAAGATTAGAGATGGAAGGATCGATCGACTATGTTTTGGTAGCAGCTGATTTTCAGGCCAAATATGCCTATATTTCTCTAACTTAGCCAATCCTGAGAGCTGATCAGTGACGTAAAACGAGCCGTTTTTTGAGAGTTAGGGGTTGCGGCCTGACTGCTGTAACCCAGCGTGAGCCTCCTTGGTTACGGGACCCTGCAGTTCCTTGTTCAAACAGTAGGTGGAAAAACAGACATTGACTTTTGACTACAGGACTAAAGGCCTATTCCCACCAGTCTGATTGTTGCAGACAAAAAAATGCACGTTAAATTTTGATAATTAACATAATTTGATAATGATAATTTGATAATGAGTCCAAAACTGACGGACTGCGATGCTGCGTAATTTTTTTTTATCTGAGGCCGCTCTTTTTTTCTACATTGTACGAATGCGTTACAATCAGGCTCCACTGTCATGGATTTGGCCTAAGAATGTGTCAGGATGGTGGCAGAACTCTTGCTTGAAGCAGAGTAAAAAAACATATACAACAAGCAAACGCTGAGTAAAAAAGTGCAGAGATTAAAGACTTTATACAATAACTGAAAGGCTGAAAGTGTGTTACAGCAACTGTGTTTAACCATAGCTCCTTTTTTTCCAATTTTCTCACCAATTTAGTCATATCCAATTCCACCCACGAGTTAAGACTCCCCCAATCACGACACCCCCAGCGCTAAGAGGGTGAAGGGTAGCACAGGCTTCCTCTGAGACCTGTGAAGCACCACCACATCTTTTCTAACTGCCACTCACACTATGTGATTGGACAGTCACACGCTGTCCCACAATGCTTCGGACTTGGTGTAAAGGTCTCACTACGCTTTCGTTCGAAAAAATCATACTTGGGCTTAACAGTCTAACCCCACCATCGATTTACTTCAGCCACTGGCCGATCGTGCTGATGGTATCGGCCCCAAAGACACATGAGGGAAGACTGTTTGAGGGAAGAGGGAGAACTCTGAGAACTTGGGCTGGAGTTCTGGGCAGCTTCTGCCTGTAGCTAGAAGGCCAGATCCCTCCTCATAGCTGTAGTAGGAATGATGTAGGACTGAGGAACAGGGACGAGAAGGGGTGGAGGTGGCACTTTGTCACAGAAGGTGAGGATGTGAATTTATAGCATATTACATTGGAAGAAGGAGGGGTTTCAGGTATGTTCCTCCCCCAAAACTTTGGTTATAATATAACTACATTTAATACAGTTCAGAGATAAAGTGTTGGCCTAAAATGTATGTTTTTGTTAAGTACAGGGCATTTTGGTACAAAATAGTCTCACATTTGTTTCAAATTTACCACTATTTAACCATCTTCAATATTACTTATAAAATCTCAGAGACGTGTAGGTTCCTTGGTTGTTTCAGATATTGAATAAAAATATTTGCTTTGCAGACATCACGAGCGCTGCTTCCCACCACCACAGCAAAGAAATCCAATCTGGCAGGTTTCTTTACAACACACCATTTCACATCAAAACACTCTGAATGACTTTGTTTACATCTCAGTGATGAAATTATGTTGACACTTTGATAAAATCAGTAGAATTCCCAGGACACATCATGACTGCAATAAATAAAGTAAATAAAAATATTTGCGCTGCAGACATCACAACTCCTGGTTCCTATCACAACCACTGCAAAGGAATCCAAGCTGGCAGGTTTCTTTGCAATGCACTATTTCACATCAAAACACTCTGAATGGCTTTGTTTACATCTCAGTGATTACATTTTGTTGACACTTTGATCAAATCAGTGGAATTCCCAGGGCATGTCATGATTGTGATATGTGGCCAAGTAACTGCAATGTGGTACTTGTTGGCTAGTAGGCAAGATTTTGAGGAGCAGGGTTTGGACCCCTCTCTCACCAGTCTCTCTGCTCGTGCGGGTCATCCAGCAGCACTCGGACGATGTAGAGCAGGCAGCTCACCACCTTCAGGAAGAAGTTGAAGAGGCGCACTCTCAAACCTGCAGCAACACAGATCAAAACTGAACCAGGTAGCAAAACCAACAGAACGACAGAGACACATGTCTGGACAGGTACTCTCGGACAGCTTGAGACAAGACAGCAAAAAGGACAGCACATGGAACGGACATGAGCAAGCTGATAGGCTAGCTGCAGCAGCGTCAGGACCAAAGCAGAAAAACAAGACTCTTGGCACAGGAACAAAAATTAAAACTGGAAATTAAAAAGAAACACCACCAAAGGCAGCAGCAGTTGGGGCAGCGTGGCATTAGCCACACTGACCAACTCACTGACCACCACACTGACCTCAACCTCAACACTGTCCACCACATTGACCACCACACCCTCATCACACTGACCACCAGGGCTTAGAAACTGTACATGGAATTCAAAACCTGAAAATAATATTTTTGAAATAACAGAAAAAAAATGATTTTTCCAGAATCAGAAATAGGACATTTACTGTATTTCATTTTGGTGGATTCTGAACGAAAACAGTATTTTTCCATTCCTGCTCAAGCGCTCTAGATTCCATCAGCAGTTGGTATCTAGTTAGGATAAAATAAATAAGCAGTTGGGGCTCCTGAGTGGCACAACCATCTAACTGTACGTTCACATTAGGATGCAACAAGTTCCTATTGCTGCCTTATGTCTGTCTCTTGTTGTCGTGTGTGGAGGTGTACAATGTCCAGCTTCTGATAAGAAGAAAATGTAAAGGAGAATGTAAAACATATGTTCTATATATGTATTGCCATTTTGTTTAAAATATTAAAAACAATTGGGAATAGGAATGAAATACTGGTGGGAACAAAAAGTTTGAGAGTTCAGATACCAGGGACTTTGGACTGCTGTGCCTAAGTAATCATTCAGATCCCAATCATTTAGATCCCATGCGTCAGACACAAGGCCCGTGGGCCAAGTCAGGACGTTGGCACAATCCTATTCGACACCCAAAATTAGTTTAATTTTAAATTAACGTTAGCCCATTTCACCATGAGCTGGCACATTTTGAACAAACAATGGTCAGTTGGGGTCATGGCAAAATGTTAAGCAAATATAAAATAAAAACACAGCTGGCCCACAGATTTGTTGAGACTTTTTTAATATGGAGATTAAGCAGAAGTTTTTCTCTTGTTGCTGGTCTCTCCACCACTATGTCCCTTCCTGTTTGTTGCTAAATCATGGCTACAAATTGCCTACCTCCATAGAAAATGACTGGTCACCTGTCGCTCTGTCACCTGCTAGTGTGAACGTATGGAAAATGGTGGCCCGGTCATTGGGAAAACGCAAGTTTGATCCCTTGCCAGGAGTCCAATAGATCATCATTATCCTCGCTCTCTTTGGGTAGGAAGAGTAGCCATCCCCCTCCCACCATCGCTCAGCGTAGAGCTAGACAATGCAGGCGTCTGTTTGCTGAAGTAACTGTTAGTGTTCTCCTCCAAGCGTGTTGAGCTGTCCAACAACACTGTGTTAGCAGCAGTTAAAAGATGCGGTGGGCTCTTTTGTGGCTTCAAATGACTTGGCGGAAGCTCATGCTAGCCTTTAGTCTCTCAGCTTGGTAGCACAGTGTGATGGAGGAGATCTAGGTGGCAGATGGAACTGACAATGACTAACTTGTGAAGAAAACTGGGTTAAAAATAGAGAGCAGTTGATACATTTACTCAAAAAATTTATAGAATAACTAGTCAGGCTCTTCACATACAGTCTACCAAGCATATTTTAAAACTACTGAAATAACAGCACCACCAAATCAGTCACACTACATGTATTTAATAAAAGTTTAACACCAAGAAAGAAATGATATTAACTAATAGACTTTTTTCTCTCCAACTTAGTCAGAGTCAATTCCACTCGCTAGCTAGGACACCCCCAGTCCCACGATGACACTGAGCTGAGAGGGTGAAGCACATGCTTCCTCCGATACACATGAACCACATCAAACTGCTGCTAATGCAACATCACTGGACAGCTCAGCATGTTTGGAGGAGAACGCTAACGTGAAAATTCCGTCACGTCAACTAACAGACACCCTTCTTAACGAGAATCTCAGTGGGAGAGTGGGAGGCCAGCCTACACACGCAGAGAGTGAGGCCAGTTTGGACTCCTGGTCATGGATGACAATGGTATCATCAAGAATCTCCCAACAAAAAGCCCTGTTTAAACGGTTGTGCCAATCAGGAGCCAGTTAACCACTTTTCACTCTGTAAGTTAAAAGTGTTTTTTTCTTGTTTTCAAATGTACTTTCAATTGTTACTTCCATTCCCTGTTAGCTGTTTCCAAACTCTGGTGTCCACCACACTGTCCACCCACAGGAAGAACTCACTGGATCTTTGGTTTTTGATGAAGAACAGCTTTAGGCGTTCCTTGAATGTGTTCTCGTTCACATAGAACTCTACCTGCACTCTGGAGAAAAGCCGCCATGGACAGAAAGAAAGAGAGAGGGAGAGAGGGAAGGAAGGAAAAAGAAGGATGGTGTAAGAGTACATGGAAGAAGAGACAGGGTTAGCCGTAGTGAGATGTTTTTATTATGGTAACATGAACAGGAGTAAATTGGAGCAGAAATATGTTACAGTGTGTGTATGTATTAAAGGCTAATGGCCTTGAGAGAAACCGGTCTTTGGCACAGACAGCAACTGCTGGCCTTGTTATCTCATTCAGTTAAATATAGCGCAACAAATGATGAATTCCCTTTAAAGCTCAGCCACTAAGACTGCTTTCACATTTTACAGTCCTGTTGGCTCAGCACGATTTTACTCAGATCCAATCTTTTCCGTGACGTTTATGTTTGTAACTGATCCACTTCTGTCATCAGTGTAGTGTGAACATTCCTCGGGCTTGGAAAAAACACAGCATGCACACATTTTAGTGTAATTAGCCACTGTTGTTAGCTGCTACTAACATGCTGCCCACTTTGGATGGTTCTGATCTGACAGTTCTTATTACAATCGCAGGGCCGCTTATCAGATATGTCTGTCTGATCTAGGACTGTGTATGAAAGTGGTGCAAATCAGATTTAAAAAAAGATTTTTGTGTTCATAGTGTTCTAAAAAATCTATAAAATGAATTTGTGCCACTTTAAACCTGTAATGTCGACATTTACATGTTACATTTACAGCCATCACTTCATTCCACATGTGTAGTGCAGACCTGGATGAACATACTGTCACATGACTACAACCAAATAGAGTGATACAAACACACTTGTTGTTCTAATATCCCTTATGCTGAGAATGATCCACCACCCAAATAGTACCTGCTCTGTGAGGGTCCATGGTGGTCCTGGCTAACAAAGTATGCAGAGAAACAGATGGACTACAGTCTGTAACTGTAGAACTACAAAGTGCACCTATATAGTAAGCGGAGCTGATAAAATGGACAATGAGCGTAGAAACAAGGAGGTTATGCCTGATCGGTGTATATACAAACTGCCACCTTTACATATATGATATGTGTATACACTGTTCAAAAGTACAAATTATTATTGTTTCCTGTCTCAGAAAAAAAAACCCAGTCACAGAACATCATCATCATCATCATCATCGTTAACCGCTTAGTCCAGATAGGGTCGCGGTAGCAGTTGGGAGAGCAGAGAATCCCAGATGACCCTGTCCCCCGCAACTTCCTCCAGCTCATTCCCGGGGACCCCAAGCCGCTCCCAGGCCAACTTGGAGATATAATCCCTCCAGCGGGTCCTAGGACGACCCCGGGGTCTTATTCCGGTAGGCCGTGCCTGGTACACCCCCACCGGGAGGCGTCCAGGGGGCATCCGGATCAGATGCCCGAACCACCTCAGCTGGCTCCTCTCAATGCGGAGGAGTACGGCTCTACTCCGAGCTCCTCCTGGATGGCCAAGCTCCTCACCCTATCAAATAGAGTGTAGCCCGCCACCCTGCGAAGAAAGCTCATTTCCGCCGCTTGTATTCGCAATCTCATTCTTTCGGTCATTACCCATAGCTCATGACCATAGGTGAGGGTCGGGATGTAGACCGATCGGTAAACAGAGAGCTTCGCCTTACGGCTCAGCTCCCTCTTCACCACTACAGTCCGGTACAGCGACCGCATTACTGCTGCTGCTTGTCCCAGCCTGCGGTCGATCTCACGATCCTTCTTCCCATCACTCGTGAACAAGACCCCAAGATACTTAAACTCCTCCACCTGGGGCAAGTCCTTTCCCCTTACCTGGAGTGGGCATACCATCCTTTTCCGGGCTAAGACCATGGACTCAGACTTAGAGGTGCTGATCCGCATACCAACCGCTTCTCACTCAGCTGCAAACCGCTCCAGTGTGCGCTGGAGGCATCCATGTGATCCAGCCAAAAGAACAACATCATCTGCAAATAGCAGAGACGCCACCCTCCGGCCTCCACACATAATGCCCTCCTGACCCCGGCTACGCCTTGACACCCTGTCCATGAATATCACAAACAGGAGTGGAGACAGGGCACAACCCTGGCGGAGTCCAACGCTAACACTGAAAGAGTCCGACTTAATGCCGAGTATACGAACACAGCTCTCACTCCGGGCATACAGAGATTGAATGGCCCGGAGTAGTAACCCCGGCACCCCATACTCCCGGAGGACCTCCCACAAGATATCTCGGGGAACACGGTCGTAAGCCTTCTCCAAATCCACAAAACACATGTAGACTGGGTTGGCAAACTCCCATGCCCCCTCAACAATCCGTGAGAGGGTGAAAAGCTGGTCCATTGTTCCACGGCCAGGACGGAATCCGCATTGTTCCTCCTCAATCTGAGGTTCAACTTTCGGTCGAAGTCTCCTTTCCAGCACCTTGGCATAGACTTTCCCAGGGAGGCTGAGCAGTGTGATCCCCCGATAGTTGGCACACACCCTCCGGTCCCCTTTCTTGAAAATAGGGACCACCACCCTGGTCTGCCAGTCCAAGGGTACTGTTCCCGAGGTCCATGCACTATTGCAGAGGCGTGTCAGCCATGACAGCCCCACAATATCCAGAGCCTTAAGCATCTCCGGACGAATCTCATCCACCCCCGGTGCCTTGCCACTGAAGAGCTTGCCAACCACCTCAGTGACCTCCAACAGGGAAATGGAGCTTGACACGCCAGAGGCCTCTGGCCCTGACTCCCGTGAGGGAGGCATGTCTCCCGGATTAAGGAGTTCCTCAAAGTGCTCTTTCCACCGACCGACAATATCCTCATTTGAAGTCAGAGTTTCTCCACCCCTGCTGAATACAGCCTGGGCGCAGCCACCCCGACCGCTCCTGAGTCGCCGGACAGTTGTCCAGAACCTCCTCGAGGCCGACCGAAAGTCTTTTTCCATGGCCTCACCAAACTCGTCCCATGCCCTGGATTTTGCTTCTGCCACCTTTTTTGCCGGTCGGTACCTATCTGCTGAGTCGGGAGTCCTCCGGGCCATCCAGTCCCTAAAGGCCTCTTTCTTCAGCTTGACGGCCTCCCTCACCACCGGTGTCCACCAGGGGGTTCTTGGGTTACCGCCCTGACAGGCACCCACAAGCTTTTGGCCACAGCCATGCCTGGCAGCTTCCACAATGGAGGTTTTGAACAGGGTCCATTCAGACTCCATGTCTCCTACCTCCTGCCGGACATGAGAGAGCTCTCCCGGAGGTGGGAGTTTAAATCATTCCGAACAGGGGCCTCCGGCAGTCATTCCCAGCACACCCTCGCTATTCGCTTGGGCCTACCGGGTCTGACCATTAGTCTTCCCTGCCATCTGATCCAACTCACCACCAGGTGGTGATCAGTCGACAGCTCAGCACCCCTCTTCACCCGAGTGTCCAGAACATACGGTCCCGAGTAGATGAAACGACAACAAAGTCGATCATTGACCTTTCAGCCAAGGAGCTCTGGTACCACGTACACTTATGAACATCCTTGGGTTGGAACTTGGTGTTCGTTATGGACCATCCATGCCTAGCACACAAGTCCAATAACAACTCACCATTCGGGTTTAGATGGGGCAGGCCGTTCTTCCCAATCACACCTCTCCAGGTCTCCCAGTCATTGCCAACATGAGCATTGAAGTCTCCCAGTAAGACTATGGAGTCTGTAGGCGGGACCCTTTCCAGAACCCCGCCCACTTGCTCCAAGAAGGCCGAATACTCCGACCTGTTGTTTGGTGCATAAGCACACACAACAGTCAGAGTTTTCCTCTCTGCGATTTTAATACGCATTGAGGCGACCCTCTCGTCCACCGGGACAAACTCCAACTGCACTGCCGCCAGCCGGGGACTCGTGAGTATCCCCACACCCGCCCGGCGCCTCTCACCTTGTGCAACCCCGGAGTAGGAGAGGGACCAACCCCTATTTAGGAGTTTGGTTCCAGAGCCGATACTGTGGGCGGAGGTTAGCCCAACTATATCTAGTTGGTACCTCTCAACCTCCCGCACAAGCTCCGGCTCCTTCCCCCCCAGTGAGGTTACATTCCACGTACCAAGAGCCAGTTTCTGCCGCAGGGGCCTAGGCCACCAAGGGCCCCCGTGCAATCTCCCACTGCCTGTACGGCACTGCACCACTCCCCCATGCTGGACCTTGCGGGTGGTGGGCCCACATGGTCCCCCCACGTTGCCTCTTTGGGCTGAGCCCGGCTGGGTTACGTGGGCTGCCCGGCCACCAGGCGCTCGCCGAGGGACGCTACCCCCAGGCCTGGCTCCGGTGACCCTCTCCCGGGCAGGGTACACAATGTTCTGTGTCCGTTTATCATGGAGGTTTTTGGATCGAGTTAGTCTGGGTCTTCACTCCAGACCTGTTCGCCCTGGGAGACCCTACCAGGAGCATATTGCTCCCGATGACTTAGCTCTGAAGATCCCTAGACCACACAAGCCCTTCCGCCACGACAAGGCCCCGATCCAGGAAGGGCCCCGATCCAGGAAGGGTGCAGAACATGCAACAAGTAAATATAATATAAAATTTTCAGTATTTATTGTGTCCTCTCTTTGCCTTTACTAAACACACACACACACGCACACACACATCTTGACCCTGGACAAGTGTTCAGTTGCCCTTACTAGTGTTCAGTTTTTCAATGAAGTCTGCAGGGATATTTTTTCACACCTCCAAAGTTCAGTCTGAGAAGTTTGTTGCATCTTCTGCTTCTCATGAACCAAGTAATTTGGATCAAATTACAAATGAAAAAACTCCATAATTACAAATATAGACTTTTCAGTCCATAAAACTTTACTCTGCATCTCAGATTCTTGTCAGCCACACATCCTTTCAGACCCATAGCACTGAGTTGTCTTCTCACAGTGGAAGGATGGACAGAAACACCTGTGGATGTTTTCAGATCTGAAGTAAGAGTGAATCTTGATTTTCTCTTCTCTCTCAAAGATGAAAGTTTTAAGTTCTATTTATCTGATGGGGACAGTTTTGGTTCTGGTGGTCTGCCAGATCTTGCATGGTTGTTGGGAT